CAGCGAGCTTATGGAAAATCCTCTATAGCGTAGCGAAATTTGCGTGGTCAGACGGAAGATCAGGCCTCGTGGCCTAAGCCTCGCCACGTAAAATAAGGCATCAATTCAATTAATTTCAAAAGTGTGAGCGAAAAAGTTTTGAATCAATGGGAACAATAGAACTCTTAACACCCCTGGAAAAACGGTTCTTGAACTTGTTGAGTACATGCGCGGTAATCCGACTCTAGTACTAAATATTTGCCCAGCGAAATCGAAGCAGATGTTTGTAAAAAGAAATACGGATAACCTTCACTGTTGATGAAAGATGCCTTTCAGCATGCTATCAGGTTTAAGATGCACTGTTTTTAATTGTCATTATTTATTTTAATGAGTATATATGTATACATGTGATGCATAAGGATGTTTGTATGAGAGAGAGGGGGAGGAGAGACACCTAATGGCATGACCATGAGCCGTCACTGCACGAATCTCTTGAGAAAGGCTGTGCTTTTACCACCACTCCATCTGAAATTGGGATTTCTAAAGAATTTTAAGAAAGCGTTGGACAAAGATTGGCAGGTATTTTCAATTTTTACTCTAAATTTTCCTACGATTAGGACTGCAAAAATTAAAGAAGGAATTTTCATTGGACCTCCGATCCATGACTTTCTGAAAGATGTTACCTTTCAAGAATTGCTGACATACTGAGAAGGCAGCTTGGCTTGTGCGACAATGTCTTGAATTTCAGAGAACTGATAGAACACATACTGGACTGTTATAAGGCAATGGGGTGCAACACCTGAAATTGCATTTCCTTCATTCAAACCTCATCTTGGAGATGTGACGAACATGGTGAGTGATTTCGCCAAGATATCGCTGCCATTGAAAGACGATTTAGATTTATTTAGTCAAAAAACAGTAAAAGCTGTATGTAACGTATGGGGCGAAGATTATTTGCGCACGTTTTCTTGAGTTCCAGAATCCCTGCGCGTCATTTTAACTATAAAAAGTTGAAAGATGAGTAAAAGTGTAAAATAAATAAATTTAAAAATCGAAAAATTAGCAATATTAAAAAAAAATAGACATTTTCGTTTCCGAATTAAAGAAAACTTATTTTCATAGGTAAACGAATTGCAAGTATAATTTTTCTGAATTGCTAACAAAATAGTAATTCGCCCTTACTTCTACTCTTACCATTGCAAGCAAAAGGAGAGTTCGTGTTGTCTTCTGTACCGCAGTACGCTATGAAGAAGGCCACAATACGCTGGCCGAAACGTTAGCCACCATGTCAGTGACGCGCCTCGTCCCCGATAGCCTAGACAACACAAAAGGAGAGTTCAACAAAACGGGCACATAGTGAAGCTACATCTACCTCCAGAAGAAAAACTAGGGTCCTTCTCAGCATTTGCTCAATGGATCAGTGAAACTGGACAAAAACCTGATCGAGGTGGGATATAAATGAAGATGGCCACTAAATCTTTTGGAGGATTACTGCTAGACACTCCTACAAGAAGTAGCAGACAAACGGAAAACACAAAACGGAAAGTTTCCAGGAAAAGTTTCTAACCTAGTAAGTACAGTACATTTCAATCATACACTGTATTCAGCTTTCCCATACTGTTTTAATTATTTTTTTTGTAATACAAACAATTTATAATACATATAATTTAATACAAACAATTTTTGTAATAAAGATATTTTTTGTTATATGATCTATAGATTAATGCACTACAAATTCCTCCTATATTTTTATTAGTCGTTTCCAAGTTTGTCGAAATTGGTATATGTGACGCATCTTTTCATAAAAATTGGTACGTGACGGAACATTTCTGATTTCATTTTTGCAATCAGCGTATGTGATTTGATAAAGAACACATACTTCCATATCGCGGCAAGACAGAAAGTTTAAATTTGTTGCATTGTTATTGGGGATTTTTTTCATAAAGTCCCGATATTATCAAAATTTTCTCAAAATTGGCACCAATTTTTTAAATTAAACTTTGTCCTTGGATAGCGTAAAGGACGCTTAAGACCATTGGCATTTTCGTTTAAATCTTCGATTTTTCAAAAATTGCAATATTTCAATTTTTTCTGCGGTGGCCTACACCTAGAATATTGAAGATGGAGTTGTTTCCTTATTGAAATCTGTTCTTTAAATACAGATCTTGAAACAAGCTTATGAACAATTTTGTGAAAAAATGAATCGTTTTTGCAGTACGAAATGGTTTAATTTTTGCAGAAACTAAATTGGTGCATTTGTATCAAGCAAAAATTACGCGAATATAATTCGTTTTTCAAAAAATTGTTTCAAAACAGGTTTTGTTTTGAAAATTTTTAGTTTTGAATCGAATTAACTTTTGCAGTTTTGAATGTTTATTTTGTTGCTATTTTCGGAATTCGCCGAAAAATTCCTAATTTTTTATCGTCTTTTGAAAGGTACATGGAGAAAATGTACAGAAAAAATTGGAGCCATTTTGGAGAATGTTTTGAAAAATTAAAAGTTACCTTCATTTTCCCCAATATAATGCAAAACCCACACATACTTAAGAAAAATTGTACATGACCATAATTCAAGATAAGATGTGTCTTTAGAGAACAGATTTTATCAAGGATAAATCTCTATCTTCAATGGAAGTTGCTGAAAAAATTTTAACTCTTTCAGTTTCCTAAAAATCAGGATTTTTAACGAAAACAAGATCTGCAGGATTGTCTTGTGTGCTGTCTAAGCTTTCTGAGGACACTGTTTAATAAACAAAATTGGACAAATTTTTGAAAAAATTTTGATAATATTGAGGCTTCATGTGAAGGATCCCCAATAATCAGAATATCTATTTTCACTCTCAGAGAGCCTCGAGTTCCTCTAAATTGATCAAAGAATATCAATTTTGGACAAAATTTGTTGAACTGTTTTGGCACTAGCTTTGACCACTGACAGACATTATATCGTCAAAAAAATATTTTGGTATCAAGGATTAACAAAACAATGATTCTGACTACAGGTGTTAAGCATACATGCTGATGTAGCACCACTAATTCCATTAGTACTTGGGATAATATTAGCCCATTTTTATTTTTTTGGGTGTCTTTATGGATAAACGTGTTATTGTGATGGGGAATAACTTGTGAGTGGTGAACATTCCCCAAATTATTTCAAACAATGCAAAGTGGAAAAATCTCCTCTTGATAACTTTGCTACTATGTATCCTAGTGAAATACATTGAAGCTACATTCAATGGAAAGAGGAACACATATTACTGCTTCCCCAAAAGATGCTCTATTATTTTTTTTTTGTAAATTTTAATTTATTTGGGAGAAACCCTGGTTAGTAATAGTTTAACTTTTAAGAGCATATTTTAAATTCATAGCATAATTTATGATATCAGATCGTAATTCTTTCTTGGTAGTACATTTCAATCACACAATTACTTTCTTAGTGTAACCAGTTTAACAATAAACTATTTTTCAGGTTTTGAATAGGTGTGAAACTTCTTGATTTTGAAATAAAACAGAACTGTTAACATTTACATCAATTTATAAATCAATTATCAATCTTCCAATATAGTAGTGTATACATACATTGCTGAAATATGACTGATAAGTTTACAAAAATGTCAACAATAACAGAGCATGGCAATAAAAACAATTGCAAAGAATTTAATGGTGTCCAAAATCCCTTGCAGGAATGAGCTGTAAAAAAGAAGTCAGTGTTGTTTAAGATACCAAATACATACAAATAAAATTATGACATCAGCAAAGAAATTAATAAAGGTTCCAAGAAATGGAAACTGCAAAATATTGAAAATGACTACTTCCATCATTCCGGTCTTAGGGAAGAAATTTTGATTTTCAGAGGAATGGAAAATTGTTATTCAGAATTCCTCTTATAAGTAAATTCTTTACAAATTAGCTATGAAAGTCATCACGGTTTGCTGCCCATATCTAATTTGTTGAAATATGTTTTAATCACACAGCTACAATTATAACAGTTAATGTCATAAAAATTATGATGATGATTATAAATGGGAAATAATTACTTTGTTGGGTTCATTTTTATGAATATGTCTCCTTGGAAATTTGCTTTAATGTTTGTAATGAAATCATTATTGGCTATGGTATTAGCAAATTTTGATATAGGCTTACCTCTTTTTTTCTACCTCATCACCATATTTATGAAAAGGTTTTGTAACCAGGATTTGATTCTTCCATCTTTGTAGCTAGTAAGAGTACAAACAGGGGTGCTCAGAAAAGGGGAAAACTGGGGGTAACTTGCCTTTGGCATCAACTTAATTGGAAACCCTGAAATATTTCTTTCATTCAGAAGAAATGAAAAATATGTATCTCTTATCCAAATTTAACACCAAGTTATTCCTGATGCATGAATTCTGTTTATTAATGGGAGGAGGGGGGGAAGGTATTTTTTATTTGAAATAAGGGGCCCCCGAGATCAACTGCCTCAGGCTCCTGAGTAAAACTATATATTTATTTAACAAATCTCTCCTAATTCCATAGTAGTCATTAGAATCCAGAACCTAATCCAATATCTCACAATGTCACAGGTTGTGCACGATCCTCCCTCTTCCTTGCCATCCTCACAAAGTTTCATAACAGCAGCACCATTTGAGTGGAGAAAAGATGAGAATAGTTTTAGAAGTGTTAAAATGTGTGTGTCATTCAAATTTACAGCAATGACCTTAACAGTTCTCCAGCCTTCACATTTGTCATATGGTTTGAGGTTGAACTCTTATTTTATCATTGTTTTTCCCCTGAGAAAAACTTTAATGCAAAATTACAGTGCATACAACAATAAATCACAATATAGTAGATACTTTAATGTGCTAAAAACAAAATAGCAAACTTATTGTCTTAAATGAAATGTATTATCAGTTGATGTTTTAAATACAGAAAATACAGCATCCCCCTCCCCTCTTCACAACAGACAGGAATGAATAATGTCTCCAGTAGGAGAGTTTCTCTTAGAACATGGTTTTGCTACAGTGCAACTCTTTCAATGAAACAAACACTTAATAATTGTATGTTATGCTTTATTCAACAATAAATTACATAGTCGAGCACACAGGTGCTGAATGTATCAGGCAAGTCATTTCACAAACTCCATGTACTTCACTGATTATGTATTGTCACTGCATATATAAATATCAGAATGATCAAACCTTAGTCAAACTTACACTAATCAAATAAATAAGAGCAACATTTGTAGACCTTTTAAAATAAAAATAACAATTTTTTGGTGCACTGACCAAAGAGCAAGTTGATTTCTCAAAAAAATGGTTCTAGTGAAAATATTTTCACTTGCGTGGAAAATTATTTAAAACAAAGGTTGTAGCCAGCTACATTTCATACGAGATAATGCAGCAATATATTTTTTGCACTTGGGCCTTTTCCTTCCTTAGAACAACGAGCCAGCTCAAAGTCTATATACAGATTCATAATAAATTAGCATTGCTTTTACTCCAAACTAACAATTACTGTACAATGATCATGAAATTTTGTCCTACTTGACTATGTAATGCACCACATGACATAAAGAAACCTCATTAAAGGAAAAGTTCCTGTCCAGTCAAAGGAAGTATTCCTATAAATTAGCTTCTAGTTTCTTTAAAATACTGCTCTAGTGACTGATTATCTACAAAACATCATGTTTTACCCTCTGTTTTCTACTCTGCGACAAATTTCATTGGTAAATTCAGAACACTTGGCATTACCACCCAAGTCACCCGTGCGGAACTTTTCTTCCTTTATAACATCCAAGCATGCATTTTCTATCAAATCCGCATGTTTTACAAGCTTCATGTATCTTAACATCATTACAGCTGATAAAAGAAGTGCAGTGGGGTTAGCTTTGTCTTGCCCAGCAATGTCAGGAGCTGTTCCATGGACCTATCACAGACAAAAAGAAAATAATAATGAATTAAAAATAAATTTAAACTGAATAATTTGAGGGTGATAATGTATACAAATAATTATAAATAGTGATTAACCAGAATGCGAAAGTTTGTCATTCAATAGTTTCCTTCTTTTTTGTTTCTGTCAGGCTAGCTTTTTGGTATCGCCTCATGCTCTTCCCAGCTGCCTTCTATTGCCACCCAAACTATATTGTTGCACATTTTCTGAATTATTCAATGCTCTAAGGTAGAACTAGAACATTACTAAGAATATTTTAGAAAAGTAAATCGTTGTTCTCTATGGGAATATGTTTCAAAAATTTGAAGTTGTTTTGAGAAAATGTTTCAGCATTTCTGAAAATGTGGAATTTGAAGCGCTTTTTCACAGAAAATCTCAATTGGAAATCATTTGAAGCACATTTACTGACAAATTCAAAAACTTATACAAATCACTGGTAATATAAATATTGAGTGACACACAGTGTAATAAAAATAATATTTTTTTTGAAGATACAAAAGAATACATTACATTGGCATTGCTATCATGTTATGTAGTGCATTCAGTAATATCCGTTCAAAAAATTTAGAGGCATTTGAGAAAAATGGTTTATCAGCACTTCTCTAAAAATGCAGAATTTTGATCCCATTTTCACAGAATTTTTTAGCTTTTCAGATACTTTATAGCATATTATGTGAAGCACATATGCTCATAAAAGCAATTAAGTATACAAATTGTTGGTAATGAAAATATTATCAATGGGAGAGAGACTTTCAAAAAATGTGTGTGATTACATTTGTGTAATTTTTGAAAAAACAAAAGAACACTGCAAATTTAAGTTTGTCATTGCTTACAGTACATTTAAGTACTATCCATACCAAAAGTTTACAGAAAAAAATTTGGAGCAGTTTGTGAGAAATTCTTGTTTTTGATATTTTTTAATATTGCTTGTTTGTATTTCACATAAAATTGTCCGCAAACAACTCAAAGTTTCAAATCAATGTACACAACAAAAATGATGAAAACAAAACTTTTGCAATTTCTGGAATTTCAGAGTTAACAGTAAAAATCAGCCATCTTTATAAAGGTATTTTGCTCTTTTCTTACAATAAATTTAAAAATTTCAGTCATCCTGAGAAAAGATTGAAAATGTCCCAGGGGCTTCCCTTAACCCACTAAAATTTAAAGAATGCTTTTCACAATCACAGCAGTTTCAGTTGAGACAAATTGACCTGGAATATCCATTTTGGAAAAAACACACTTTTTCAGTAAAGGGAACTCATTACATAACTTTCTCTATACTATGTGCATTACTGTGTATATACGTATGAATACAAGACAGTAACTAGTGGCACTTCAGAATGGCTCAGACTCTGGTTTTTGTTTTCTATTTTCTTTGGTCTGTGCTAGCTACTATGACTTGCAAACTATTCTTGACACTTGCCATCTATCTCTGCCCTAAGTACATTTTTTTTGGACATTTTCTCTATTTTTCGGTTTTGGAATAGCAGAATTGAAATACTACTTTACGAATATTAAAGGAGAGTAAAAACTCATTCTACATGGTCATTTTCATTGAAAAATTTGGAGCCATTTCTAAGACATTTGATGTTAAAGCGTTACTGTAAATGCAAAATTCGAAGCTCTTTTCACAAGAATTGTTTGAGTTTTTGATAAACTTAATTTGCATTCATTGGAAGCACTACCACTCACATGTGGAATAATGTATACAAACCACACAGGAAATGTGCAATATAAACGGCATGAGAGATATTTAAAAAAATTCCATTTGTGTAAATTATCAAAAAACAAAAGAATACATCAAAATTGAATTTGTCATTTTAAACAGTGCAATTAGCACTATCTGTACGAGAAGGTGAAAGAAAAATTTTGGAGCCGTTTTTGAGAAAATGGCACTTGCTTTTATAGTAAAATTTTTGAGTTTTTAAGAAACCTTAAAAGACACGTTATTTAAATGATGTCTTTGTAAATGCAATATCGTAAAGAAATTGCAGCTAATATAAATATTAACAGCATGAAAGGTTAGTCAGAGATATTACATTTTTGTAATTTTGGAAAAAAGAATTTGCTGCTGTTTTTGAGAAAATCTTGTTTCTGTACTTTTTTTAAAAATTGCACATACTTCACGCAATATTGTGTGAAAACTACTAGAAATTTCAAGAAAACTTGCCTTACCTTAATAAAAAAAACTAACTATGGAGAAAAAATTTTACTTGAAGGAAAAATATCTAATTGTCAATTTTCAAGTTGAAGGAAGACACCAGAAAAAATTCAAACTTTTAACCTTCCAACAAGTAGAAAAAATTCAGTGTGAACAGTGAAAAGTCAGACCTATACCACCAGTGTATTTTACAAGAAATTTGAAGGAAAAAATGAAAAGAAAAAAGCCGTCTGAGAAAATTTTGAAAATGTCCTGGGTGCTGCATGTAAAATACCCCCAAATAGTAAAAAATGTTTTTCAAAATCTCAAAATTTCAACTCAAGCCAGATGGATAGGAGTTTCTTCAATTGAGAAAAAGAATCCATGGCTTAGGTGCTAGTGGTGTACACAGATGGACATTTTGAAAGAAAAAAACAACACTTTGGTACCTCACCTACAGGACACCAAATGTATATTTCCCTTGAAATCTTGAAATTGATTACATACTTTTAAATGCAGTATATAACTTTCTCTACAATACATATATTACTGCGAATATACATATGTATACGAGATAGTAATAAGAATACTAATTTTCACAATTCTTGTATTCGAGGGATTGAGGATACTTTGAGGTTACTCATTAACGTACAAAACAAAGAAATGACAATTGTATTTTTAAATTCTTGTGTGTTGAGAAATTTTGTCAATAAATATTTGAAGAACCTGATTTTCAAGATTTTCAACTGAGATACAAGCATAAGCTATCAAGACTTCGCACAATGAGGCAGGAAATACTTCAGCAATATAATTTACCTTACCCTCAGCTTTTTTTAATGCAGAAGCATGATTTAACCCTTACAGTTTTGTTAATTTGTAGGTCAGAGTGTTGGACAGTTGAGCATGAGAATTCACCAAAAGTATATAGGGAGGGGGAGGGGGGATTACAATCTTTGCGTGTTTTCTATGCCAGTTGTCAATGATTTTCCTGAAGAGATACTTTCTACGATATAACATTGTTATAAAAAAATTTAACTGGCCTTATTTAAAGAGCAAAAGCACTCATGAATACTTTGTAAGTTTATTATGAAAATAGAATCTACCAGGTAACTGGTGTGCTCACATTCAAAATCAATACCTGAAGACCTTGGAGTTGGAGCCAATGAACAACAGTTGAATGAGAGATGAATGTTTGAGTTGCATGCACAATTTTCTTGAATAATTTTGACATGAAACAGACCTAATAAGTAATTACATTTTCAATACATTGTACTATTACTTACAGATTCAAACAGTGCACCATTTAGTCCAATGTTGCCACTTGGTGTAAGACCTAAGCCACCAATAAGGCCAGCACACATATCAGACAGGATGTCACCATATAAGTTTGGCATGACTAGCACATCATACAGTCCTGGATCCTGCACCATGTTAAGGCATACTGTGTCCAGATATTTCTCTTCAAATTTGACATCTGGATGCTTTTCAGCTTGATCACGACAGCATCGCAGAAACAAACCATCAGACATTCTCCTATAGAAAATTATTAATATGAACTCCCCCTTTCAATTTCCTTCAAACAGCATTCTAAGATTGGATGATATCATAGCATTCTGAGATAGGATTCGATAAACTGGGAAAACACATTATGAAAATAACAGCTGTTTACATTTAATAAATGATGATTTGAAAATTAAAAATCTGCGATTTCCACTTCTGAAATTACAATCAGCATCATGATATACAATGAGAATGAGAGAGAACAGCAGTTAAAGTATAAAATTAAGCAGTCTAAAGTAAGCATAAATGCTTAAAAAATTCAGTGGAACCTCTGAAATTTGAAATGGAAATCAATGTTTTACATAACAAATATCAGGATATTTTTGAATATTAATTACTCATTAAAATACAGCTGCAAGAAGACACTGAATAAACAACTCACATAATATTAGCCTTGTGAACAGCTGTCACTTTGTGCCTGCCATTTTCCTTTGCATACTGGAAGGCAAATTCAGCAACACGAGTGGAAGCTTCTTCTGTAATCAACTTAATACTTTGTACAACTCCATCAACAATTTCATGTTCAATTCCTGAGTATTCTCCTTCTGTGTTTTCTCGTATAGTTATAACATCTACATTATCATACAAGGTTTTGTAACCTTCCAATGACCGGCATGGTCGTACATTTGCATAAAGGTTAAATTCCCTGAAATCATGCAAAGAATGAATGACTATATACTTGTACAACTTCAGTAATAATAGGAGACTTCAGCAATTATAGTAAGCATTAAAGTTTTAAGCAATCAAAAATTACAAGCTACTTACTTGCGTAAAGCTAAATTAAGAGATCTATGTCCTTTGCCAACAGGTGTCATCAAGGGACCTTTAAGGCCCACCTGATGTTTGTTAACTGAGTCGATAGCGGCTTGTGGAATGCCAAATTTGCCATCTGGTCCACGGACTGGAGTAACGTCCACACTTTCCCATTGAATTGGCACCTATATCAATGAGGAAAACAACAGGTAAAGATTCACCTTTAAATACTCACTGAATGTGTGGGAAATTTTCCCACTAAGAACAATACGTAATACTTCATACTATCACCACCAAACATAATCAATCAAATGTACTCAGAATAATCATAAATGTTGCCAAGAATGATCCAATATTAAACAATTATGTTCAAGAACTCTTTTACATTAACGTACATCATTAATTCTCTAATATTAACATTCAAAAAACATTTTCTTCCTTTACAATAATTTATCTTTGGGAGTAAGCTTAAAATTCAAAAAGCACCAAACAATTTTCGTGGCACTTACATTGGCAGCGGCGAATATTTTCTGCACTGCTGCTGAAATTTCTGGCCCTATTCCATCTCCAGGGATGAGGGTAACAGTTCTCACTTCACTGCTATAATGGCGTGTGAAAGGCACTGTGTTTGTAACCTTAAAAACAACAAATTATTTCATGCGATGTTATGTTCCACAAACTGAACAAACACTAGACAGTTCCCAAAGGAAATACAAAATTTGAAATGCACGAAACACTCCTGGAGCTTAATGACCTTCAGGAAACTGTTAAGACTCTCAGCAAAAGAACAACCTTAGGCGTGAACAAACAAGCCAACCCTAGCCAGTTCTCACGCATCAAGAGGTCACTAATCTCCCCTTACATAAAATTATTTCGTAAGACTTACCACTTTCTTCAAGAACCTCGCAGCCATTTTGGAAGATAAGGGAGGACGATGTAATTCTCAGAACTTAAGTAACGTTAAGTAGCTGGTTACTGATCCAGCAAAGAACAAATACGGAACGACAGTCCGGAAGCCATCTATGGGCGGATTCGTATTTCATCCGTACGAGCACGTGGTCCGAGATTCGGTAAAACCGCACTAGATCTCGCAACAGTCACCGAAAACATTTAGCGCCTCGTTGTGTAAACTTAAGATCAAGTTCCTCGTAATGTGTATTTGAGGTTTCAAAGATGAATAAATGTTAGTACTAACATCATCGCAATTTGAAAGAAACGTCCTCTCTTTCACAACAAGAATATGGAGAGAATGCCGATGAAGAATTTAAGACAGAAGTGTGACGTTGCAGAGACTTTTGGATTGCATATTGTTGTGATTTGCATAATGTCGAATGCACTTTGTTTTCGATTTGACTTCACCTTAATGGAATTCCCATATTTCGTGCGCTTTCCCTGCGTGGGAGCCTGTTACGAAACACGATATTCTATTCACCAGAGTCCATTGTTCCCCATACAACACCACCACCGCCTGCACCTCACCCGTCGGACGCGCTCATCACGATCTCAGCATAATTGTATTGGTGATTACACGTAAAGCGAAACTCGAGACGGCTCATTAAACAAGCGCCGGGGGCAAATTTCCTGACATTGTTTGAATTTTTTTAAAAAAATCTCTGCCTCCCTTGTCTGAAGCCGATACCATGCTTCGATTGACCACACAAAATGTTCTCCTGGTATTGAAAATAACGTAATAAGGCAAAAACCTGATAGCTTCGAAATTGAAGCGCAATTTTCTTCACTTATTTTCATTCCGTGACAATCAGAATTTAATTATCTAACCATTGAGACATGAAATAAGTTGTATGCATTTTGCCAATAAAAGGGAACATAAATAATTTCCGTCTGTTTAAAAAGTAAAAATTTCGAAAGATAAATTCCCCTAAAAAAGAGAATGCTTCTGCGATTCACATAATCACGAAGGGAAGGAAGGGGAACGTGTAGACGGACACTGCAGGATTACTACCCTCTTCCATCTTCGAAGACCCCCTTTCGCCTGAGTGGTAAAGTGGAATTTTACTCTTGCTGGCTTTCTCTTTAGACGAAGTTGACAGATCTCGAATTAGAAGTCGCCATTTGCGTAAGAACCTAGTGGTGAGAAGAAGACAATCAAATTTTAAATGATTCAAAGTTTCACAGAAAAGAAACTGGCAGCAGACTTTTCTTACTGGTTAGTTTCGTAATCTCTTTAGCCTTTAGTTTATCAGTTTTGCCCCATTATTTTCCCAACTGTTACCTCACAGTGCCCAAAACACAATTTTTTAAACATTTTCTTAATTTTTCTTGCCTAATGGTAAAATTAAAATATGACTTAATATAATTATAGAAGAGCAAAATCTGGTCCTATTAGCAAATTTTAATTGAAAAATTTTCAGCTTTTTCGAAAATACGGTTAGAGCGTTTTTGGAAATGGGAAATTTGGACTTGCTTTTACAGAAAAGTTTTGCGTTTTCGAGAAAATGAATAAAAAATCATTTAGAACACTTGTACAAAATATATGTAGATATTTGATAATATCAATCAAAATACATCTGAAAACCTGTAATGTGAATAATTACAAAGTGAAATATATAGAACAAAAATTAAATGTGTGAAATTTTAGAAAAATAAACAGTACATCAAAATAGCATTTATGTCAATTTTTTTAATTTGTACAAAAAGTTTAAAGAATTAAACTGTAGCCCATACGCAGTATAGATAATTGTAATACTGTGGTAAATGGTGATTTTGCTACATAAACACACTTATTGTGTGGCCAATATCGAAAATGTAAATAAATCTTGTTCCCATATGCAGGAGTGTAGTGTGATAATTTTAACTGCGTTGGCTTCAGCATAGATATACGTATTCTTCTTCATCTTTCGGATAAATCACTTTACGAGAACGTTAGATCAATTACTTCTTATGTGTTCTTTCTTTACGTTTCTTCCAATAATCCTTCATTCTTTCAAATGTTCCCTTCTTTCTCTCTTCTCACACTTTTGCTCCTCTTTTGGATTTAGGTTTTTCTGTGAATCTGAGCTGCTCATCTTGAATTATTTTTATGAATTGGTTTTTATATTTTCAATTAATTTTGTAAGTAATTTTTCATTCATTCAAGTCTTCTTAGCTTAATTGCTCTTAGTTTTTCTATTTAAAATTATTATTACTATTATTATTATTATTATTATTATTATTATTATTATTATTATTATTATTACTTCCATACTGCAACTAATAAAATCATAGTTGATCCTATCAGCCATTCACCCCTGACAAACTTAAGACCTTTAAAACTCATTCTCTCGTCTCCAGAACTAGGCATTGAGCTCATTCGAAGAAGAAAATATCTCCCTGAGAGCCTCTCCTTCGGCAGTCTGCTACCAAACATCGCACCTCCGCTACCAAAATTTGATAAATTGATGTTAATAGCTATTCCAGGAAACCAAGTATAGCTATATTAACAGAATATTGACTCAAACCAGATGTTTCAGACCGATCAGTCAGTATTCACGGTTATAATATTTTCGTAAGGACAGGACTGCTAAACATGGTGGAAGCATTCTCATACACCTTGCAAATGAATTACTTGACAGTCACTCCTCGTGCAAATCTTCAAAACAATGTATTGAAGTGATGCGGCTTCAGGCTCAAATTCTCAACTATAAACTTCATCCGTGTTCAATATACACTCATGTCTTTGCATGAGTTGCAAATGAAACTGCGCTTTTCGATATCCTACGTATATCACATAAACAAAACTTTGACACAGCCATAATTGACGAAATTAATTTCGTATCGATGTGCTGGCCCTTATCTACTTCTGAATCAATCTCGGATTATCGCCCGCTTGTTGCCAGAGAGTTTTTTGCAGTCTATGAGGACACGTGTCTCGCCCAATTAGTTACTGAAGATACAATGTTCATAGGTGTTCAACAACCTTCCATATTAGATCTTATTCTGGCTGATGATGAATCTACCTTCTCACCACCTACTACAATTACTTGGCTGCTCCTATTGGAAGCAGCGACCATGCGGTTATGTCTATTGAGGCACACTTTTGTTATGTTAAATCAAGCACAACAACGTGCCAAGTGGAGAAATTACTGGCTGGCTCGCAAACTTTGAAGTCAAGTCATTAAAAGCGATATCCAGCCCCTCACGCGAGATCTGTCACCGTGTTTTACCAGGATTTCGAACAAAACTGGCGAGCCGTGAACTTCTCGCAACGTGATGCCTTGAATCAACTGATCATCTAAATAAGTTACTAACATGTCCAAAACCTGGATAAACAGAACAATACGTAAGTTAATAGGACAAAAAGAACAAATTTATAAGGAACAAATTTAACCACGCTAGACAGCTGCAATGCTACAATGATTACAAAGCACCACGTAGCCTTATTATCAAGGAACTTAGGACCCTTCGAAGAAACTTTGAAGATGGTAACACTCAGGCGAAGGAAAAATACTCATACATATTGTAATGTTTCGTGGTGGTGAATTAAAACAAACAAGGTAATATTTTAACAAAGACGTTTATTTTGGTTCTTAATCATACACTAAAAATACTTGATTTATTTACAGATAGGTTGCACAGTCCTTGTGTTCTTCACTTGATTATTTCCTTACAAACGACTCACTTCTCTTGATTATTTATTTACACCGTTAACTTCTCATTATTTATATACACCGTTCATAACTTGAACTTCTTCACTTCCGATGCACTGTCCACGGTCCACTGCGCTGACCACAATACACTGTGCAGTCCACAATTCACGGCGCTGATCATGGTCCACTGCTCTGCTGTTCACAGCGATGCACACTTCACAGCTCAGCTTCCGACTTCAGGCTGCTGTTCACCTACAGCACCATTGTTCACAGCAATGCACACTTAACAGCTCAGCTTCCACTTCAGACTGACTTAGACTGCATACTCACACTGACGGACTAAGTGACTGCTTCCTCACTGACTACATACACTGACTGACTACTACTACGAGTGGCCGCCGGAAGCGGCGAATTTTTACGTGACCGGCGCCCGCCTCGAGCCATCTGGAACTTGCGTCATACTTCTACGCGACTCGATACTAACCCGGAACCGCCCACTTCGGGGGGCGTCGGCAGGTGACGCAATCCGCGCAGCGAATCCCGGTAAATTATGCAATTTTCGTTACAATACGTCGGAAAATTTCATCCAATGTCTTACCATCATTTTACCTGCAAAACGGTGAAACAACATCTGATCCTTAGGACACTCAGACACTTTTGTAGATATAGTTTAAAGTTTTGCACAATTGAACCTGATGGACCAGTGCCAAACATAAACTCTGATACATCAAGAGAAAGTTTAGAGTACATCGTCGTTCACGAAACTGTCATCTACCATACTCTACAATCACTCGATCCTGCTTCTGCAGCAAGGCCAGATATAATTCCTCCTCTTCTCCTGAAGAATTGTATAGCTGAAATTTCGCCTTCTATACATAATATTTTCCGTCAGCCTTCTGACACCGGAAACCTGCCATTTGACTAGAAAAAGCTGATAGTATTCCTATATTAAAAAAGGTAATAAATTGGATCCCAACAACAATAAACCTATCAGCCTAATTATCACATTCTGCAAAGTTCTGAAACGCATCATTGTCAAGCAGATCCTTGATTTCGCACTGGTAAAGGAACGGATTCTTTCATATCAACACTCATGTCTGGCCGTTCATTTATTTCGAATCTCCGTACCTGTCCTTATGATTGGTCTAAAGCCTTTGATAATGCCATTCCAACTGATATCATTTACCTAAATTTCCGCAAAAAAATTGATAAAGTTCATAACCGCAGGCTTCTCCACAAACTCGAACACTTTGAGATTCAGGGGAAGCTGCTGAGGTGGGTCCAAAACTTCTTTTAAGATCGCAGGTACCGTGTGATTTGGTAATCGATTGTCGAACATCTACAATCAAGACCTTATCTCTAGTGCGTTTTTCTCAAGGCTCTGTGTTGGGTATGCTACTCTTCATTCTATGTGCATAGCATGTGACTTGTCGCATTTTATAAATTCTAGCTTTATGATGTAAGCCGATGACACACAATTTTATTCTAACC